CTGTTGTTGTTGTTGAATAAATGATGGATTATGTTTTTGTTGTAATGATTTAATGGATGGTAATGGTGCTTGTGATGTTGAATTACTTAAACCTCTTGTTAATAAGCTAGTTACAACAGGATGATTATTCATAATTGAATCACCTGTTGTTAAATCATTAGCTGTATTAAGACGATTTTTTTTATTTAAATCATTTCGTTCATCATGTGTTGAACTACGTTTTAAACCACTTGTAGGTTTTGTATGTTGTTCAATAATAGATTTTTCATTTGTAAGTAAATTACTAACTATTGTTGCTGTTGGTGGTGTTGAAACAGAATTTTTTGGTGATAATGTACCATATGGTGATAATGATTCACTAAATGGTGATTGAGGATCATGAATTTCATTGACAACACTTTTTGGATCGATGACCTAAATAAGAAACATAGTTGAATAAGGAAAAGGCAAGAAAAAAAAGCATTAATTACTTGAGATTCCGGTAAAAGTACAAGTCTTTCAAGTGATTGTAATGGATGTGGATGTGGTTCAACTGCTGTAGATAATTTATTAGATGTTGATGAATTCATATTTTGTTGTTGTTGATTAATAAACATTGGATTTTGATCTGACATAATTGGATGATTTGGATGAAAAAATTGTTGTGGTGGTGCCATACGAAATTGATGATGTTCATATGGATTATAATGCATTTGATGTGATGATGGTGGTGGAGGTGGTGGTGGTAATGGTGGTCGGTGTCCACTCCATGTTGGATGTTGTTGTGGATGCATCATCATTCGTTGATTTGAATACATAAATTGTTGTTGTTGTTCAGGAGAATAAAAACGTGGAGGAGGTGGATTATAATAACCTCCTGGTGGACCAGCTGGAGTATTACCGCCACGATAGATCATACCTGGTGGTTGAAATTGATGAGGTGACGGTTGAGGAAGATAATCATTGAATGGTGGACCTTCCATTGGTGGAGGTAATGTATCAATTGATGTTGAACGATGTGGTGATGATGTTGATGATGATGGACTTATATCAAAAAATGTATTTGGATTAACTGGATTTGGAAAAGAATTTGAACGATGATATGCCGATGGAGTATCAAATGGTGATGGTCCAGGAAGACCACGATCTGGTGATGGACCACTACTTGCTGGTGGTGTACTAACATTAGGTCCAGGAGAGTAAGCAGTTGGATTTTGATTCATTGTTCGATTGAAAGTATTTATTGCAGGACTAGCTGTTGAAGACAGGAAAAGAAATTCAAAAAGAAACTATCAAATTGTAGAAAGATAAAAACCTGTTCGAGAACGGACTGTTACTGGTGGTGGTTCTGAATTAAGATCAAGATAGCGTGGTGGACTATTTATGCCTGTTGTTGAAAAAAAGAAAAGAATATATTTTGTAACTACAAAAACACTATCATAGATTTTTTATCAAAACAAACTTTTGACACTTTGTTTCAAAAGTAATACATTTTCCATTATTGTGTAAATATCATTATTTGCAATGCCTAAACTTTGTAATTGAGCAGGAGTCAAAGAACATACCTACAGGTATATGTATAAATACAGATAATAATCAATGGCAAAAGAAACGAAGCTATTATTAAATTAATAATAATGTCTTACCGATTGAAGATTTTGGTAACCAGATCGTTCAAAACGATCGGCATATTTACTACATGTAAATGTATCAAGCCAATGTGCAATACTAACCATTGTCGAAATTTTCCTATTTAATTATACAGTAGTCATTCTTCTGAAATGACAACAGTGTATATATATATATGTTTGTGATAAAGATTGATTGTATAAGTTAGATTAAGATTTTATTTTGATTGGATATTTTATAAAAGATAATCAATTTGAATAAAATAAAAAATAAAAGAAGTTTATTTATTGAAACAAAAATTTTTCAAGTGAAACTAAACATTTGTTTATATTTATTCATTATAGAGGGTTGATTAAATGTTTTTTATTGGATATACAAATCAACCAATTACTTTAAACTTTTATAATTAAAAGAGATGAAACACAAATAGATATAAAACGAAATTCTATGATGTATGAACTACACATGTGTTCAAGATTATTGTGTTTATTTAAATGCAATACTATTTATATCATATACTATAGGAGAAACATCAATTAAAATTGGAAGTAAATTCTTTTCAGAGATTTATCAAACTTCAAAAATTACAAATAATATTAAGCATGTTATTTGTGCTATTCAAAATGTTTTATTACGTCGCAAATAGCTTTGAACATGCCGCTAGCGCTCATTTATGTAATTAACACACTACATTACTGCATTGTATTAGAGTAAGGACTGTGTCTGATGTGAACCAGCAAACCTATAATAGTATTCAGATATCAATGTATAATCATTAGTAGAGGTGATCTGACAGGGGCAAGATGGCTGTGATACTTAACAATCCAGAAAATTTTTTCTAATTTATCAGCAGAATCAAAAATTTGTCATGCGTTCTCTTAAAAAAAGTTGCTACTTCCTCCCAAATGTTGGCCATCTCAACCCAGCCCTGTTCATTAGCATATCGGAGCAGAAAGAAAAAAATCTAATAATAGTGTGCGAAGAAAATTGTTCGCATTCTTTATTTAGTATTAATTAGTCAAATACAATATGATATAATGATCAGTTGATTATGATACCACTACATCGATTGTTCTGTAATGAAAGATTTATTCTCGTGTACTATTATATGATGGATTTTGGGTTTAAAAAGAATCATGCACAATCAAGTCAAACGATAAAATGTAATGTGTTCATTTTAACAGAATAGTTTAATAAAAGTTGACATATTGGATGTGACAAAAAACTTTGTCATAGTTCTTGTTTTGCATGTAAATTTATTTAGAAACATGATAAAAAATTAATCTTTGTTTTTGAAAAGATGCATCATTGAAAACGATTGTCACCATATTATTTTCCACTAGGAAGAATTGAAAAAGATCATTTTGTGATTGACAATTAAGTTTATTTTTAATCAAACCAATGTTAGATGAAATAGACGGACCCAAGTATTTTAAAGAAACTAATATAGTCATCATCCTATCAATACTTCCTACGAAAGGAGCTGTGATTTCCTCTCAACATCTTGTCATTATCTTCAGTCGCAGCCAGATTCACATTGTATTATTTTGTTATGTTTATTTTTTTTTACTACTTTCGACAGTCAACAAAGTTTAATATAGTGATACGTTCATCGAGCTCACTCCTTTTAGATGATGTCTAACAGCACCACAGACTTTTTCTTTTTATTTGTATTTGATATGAGGATGAGTAGTTATCTAAATCAAAATTTGAGAGTATTTGGCGGTCTCTTTTTCTTGTTGAAAATCACACAATGATACAGACGTTTAGCGTTAGAAGTCTATTAAGATTCAAAAAAAGACATTCAATAGCGCATGGTTTTGAAAAAAAAGATCAATATTTTATCATGTTCTTGAACAAAATTACCTGCAAAACGAAAAATATCGCAACATCTTCTTTCGACACCCGATAATACATATGAGCATAATAGCAAGTGCAAAAGAATCTGTGTCATGTTAATAAAATTATCTATAATAAGATATATATTTTAATACGTATTTCATACAATTATTGATGTCCTACATTATTCATTCTACCAAGCTAGCCCTACATCTTTCAATACTATAGTATTATTTGTTACTGAAATAATTTCTATAAATCAATAATGCATGCTATCATGTTAAAAAAAGGTTTTCTTGTTCTCAATAAAATATTTATTGTCACTATCAAAGTTTAATTTTATTTATTAGAGTTATTGCATGCGTTTTTTTTCATTTCTATACTACTGTTATATTATCAAATTAACATTATTCATATCTCTTTCCTGTTTACTTAGAGAGAATTCTCTTATTTTATATAATTTAATATAAATAATTAATTAGAAAAGCATTGCAACACTTCATGTCTCGATGGCATACTTCTTCAAACACGTAATTTACAACAAGTAATTTAATAAACAAAAATAGAAATTTTAAAAAATAGAAATAGAACCAACTAACCTGACTAATTTTCTTATTCTTTTCTTTTTTAGTCATAATTTAGAAGTGATACGAAAAAAAGACAGGAATAATGGTAGGTAGGTACGAATACAGATTTTTTTCGCATTATGATCACAGTATAACTAAAAAAGAAGAAGCATAAAAAGATAGTCTGATTTGTTGGTTCTATTTTTTTCTTTTACTTTTATCTGATTCTATGTTTAGTCATTTATTACAAATTTTATATCTGAAGAAATATCTTATCGAGATATAAAATATACTTGTATTTTGTGAATTAATAATAAATATGAAATAAGATGAAAAAAATATTCATGTCACAGATAATTTCAATCTTCTTATCAAGACAAGAATATATACCTCTGCTTAGTTGACGTAATGAACAACGCAATTTTTTTTGTCGCGTCCTCCTCTAACAGTTGTACTTATAGTTAATGCGGATATATCCTTATGTAAATACGCTTCAATAAACATTTCATTCTGATTAAATGACAAGATCATTCTAAAATAAATAAAAATGAGCCTTTACAAATTATATCATAATATTCGAAAATAATTAGAAAGAAGAGATTTTTCTGTAGGTTACTTATTATTTCCTTCGAACGCAAATCTATTTAAGATGCGTATCATATCTATTGTCTTTGATGTATCTATTTGATAGCCTTTGGATACTCTGCACTTAGGATTTATAGCAATAAAGGCGTGTTTGAAAAAGAAAAAAAATTAAAAATCACAGATTCATAACTTTTATTCGTAGATCATTTATAAAATAGGTTTGAAAATGGTTCTCACACATATTAACTGAATAAAAGACAGGAGAAATGATGGTAGTGTAACACAATTGTGTAATATCGAGAAATAAAACATGTTTTTTTTTTTATTAATAAATTTTATTGTATTTATGATATTTATCCTGTGTACAAAAAAAGAACACTATATACATGTCAATTTTAATAATTAAATTAATGTACAAAAACGACTGATTTTACTTAAATTCTTTTTTCTTGAAGTCACTTGTACATATTTGTAACGTTTTATGTCAGGAGTTTTTGATAAATCTCCGTTCACATCAACACTTGCTTGTCGAATATGATCAGATTGTAAATGATCTTCAAATGCATCTTCACTTTCCCATATTTCAATAAATGTAAATTGAAATTTATCACTAATATTTTCGAATAAGTGATACTCTACGCAACCATCTTCTGTACGTGAATCTTCTACAATTTTCAATAATATAGCACGTACCTTTTCTATTGATTCTGGTTTCACATATATATCCACTACGCAACGAATAAAAGAACGAGACATGATAAAGAATAAGAAAGTAGCATAGATTAATAAACTAATGTAGATAATCAGTTCATGAAGTGTTTCACGTATATGATGGTAGTAATGACATCTGCCTGACAAGAATCCGTCAATGTTATTCTTCTTTCTTTCTTTTTTTACTACCTCAACAATGTCTTTGATAGGCAATTAACAAGAATGACAAAATTAGTGTGGGAAATAAGATAATATAAAGAGTAAGAATATTCTGTTTTCTTTTTCAGTTCTTTAATATAAGATTTTTCTTTTTTTTCTATTTTATGAATAACTCAGTTTGTTGTCATAGTAGTCATTTTTTTCTTTTCTCTTGAAGTACTCGTCATAAAAGAAAAAAAAAATCTTACTATCTTTTTTTCCGAAAGAAAAATGTTTTGTTACTTAAAGAAAGAAGAATATCTTACACTTGTAGAATTTGTGTAAGAGTGAGAAATCTTAGTAACTAAATAATACGGTAAGAATTATCATATTGTTCGATAGCAAAACGACTTAAAGTATAAATTTCTGAAAGAATTTATCAATATTTTTATTCCAGATGACTAATACAAGAAAAGACATCGTTTATGTTGTTGTTGATCTTTGGCCAATCGCTGAGAAAGCTCAAGATGCAAAAAAAATTTTATTTGATACAATAGCTGAAGCAAAAAAAGAACGAACATGTTTAAAATATGAATTATGTGAAAATTTAAATGATCCATCACAAATAACACTCCTTCAAGCATGGTCTACTGAACAAGCACTTGATCAACATTTAACAAGTGAAGTTATTAATAAAGCTACTGAAGAACTTCGTCAGCTTCTAAGCAAACCAACTGAAATTCGTCGTTATAAAAATATTGGTTGACTTGTTTTTTTTTCTGTAGTTACATCTTTGAATTAACGTCAAGTTCCAATAGAAAGAGTGAAAATGACTCAACAACAATTTTCATGTTGTGATTGTCTTTTAAACTGAATTAGAAAACTATGTGTGATTAAATGTTTACATGCTGGAAAACTTGTGTTTTTCTAATGATAAACGAAATGCTTGCTGAATTAGCTCCTTCAGAGATTTTAGAATTTGAATAGATTAAAATAAATGTTGATGATGTCCTTATTGTAAAAGAGAATGGAAGTTGTAGTGATATTTAAAATATTTTCAGATGATTTTGAATAACAATTGATATTTAAATGAGGAGGAGACAATGTATCAATATTTTATGAAACTTTGGCTTTTGAAAAGTTTGAAAATCTTTACAGGCCGATTGAATAGACGTTAATACGTGTCGTTGATTAATTAAAACACAATCGTATACGATTTCAATATACGATGTGAAAAAAAAAAGAATAGCAGTGGAAACAAATGCGTTAGTTCACAAACAAAGATTTCAGTCTTTTTTGTGCTTCTCATTCGTTCAGTGCCGTAGAAAAATCACATGGTAAGTTGATTAAACAAATCACAGCTAAGATTTGCATATGAACAATGACAATGACCGAACAAAACTCACCGCTACTCAAGTGATATGATACTCAAATTTTTAATATGTACTAACCTCATTCAGACGTTGGTATCTTAGATTATCATGTAGTCTATTAACAAAATTTCATTTAGTTATAAAACTCTTTCTTAAAGTCTGATACAATACGTCATTCATCAGATTTTAAAAATATTACATTCTTTTTTTTATTCTATTGAAATTGATCATCAAGATGTTTTGTATAATACTTAATTGCTGCATTTGTTGAAGCCTTCTTATGTCAAAATGAAAAGTGGAAAAGTCTTGCTGCTATCAGTCATCGTCTTAGTATGAAATACAAAGAGATGTTTCATTTAAAAGTGTTGATAACTTTACCATGAGATATCCGTATAAAACAGTTTGATTAAGCGATAAATAATAGGCGTCTTTTGTATATGAATAAGATCTACTTGTGCGTAAAACTAACTTCCTTAGCTTCAATTCCTGTAGACATTTATTTCTGACTGACGATGTTATGGGTGTGACAAATTAATCCCACTCATTTTAACTACGACATTTAATTGTGACATGAGAAAATCTGAAGAACTAATTATTAGTTTAGCAATATCTATTATAATGCTATGAATCAGAACTCAGTTGATTAGTGAAATAGGTAATTATCTTGAAGAAGTCTGCATTTCCTGCTTTCATACGTAATAAAGTGTGACTCAAATCTTTGAAAAAAATGCTGGTCTGTGTTAAATCGTATGTTGATGTTCTACATAAATGGAAAGGCATCGTTATTGCAAAGAGCAATCTGTGACTTAAAATTTTGTGAGCATGTGAGTGCAAGGTTAAGGATCAGAGTGTGAGAGTATGAGTGAAGTGAATTTCCAAATCTACATCTTCAAATACTTATCTTCACTCTAGATCACATCCTTACCTCAAAACTTCTGTTTCAACGATGAGAAAACTGTAAGAACAAAATATTTATTTTTGAGCGAAACACTCTGCAGATAAATTGCTATTCGATGAGAATTATTCTACAAAATGCTTTGTCAATGAAATTCTTTTCTGCAAAAAACTGCTGTCAATATGCTTTCGACAAATATATCCTTCCAATTGAAAGCATATTATACCATTTTTTTCCTCTTACCCATTCATAAATATATATGACATGATCGTTGTTGTTTAAAGTGAGAGAAGAAAAAAGAATAAACTAGGAGAAGTTGATCGTCAGAGGCTAACGAAGATAATGATTTTTCTCGCTTCGCATTTTAGAAAATTTTGCAAACTCAAAAAAAAACGCGTTTGACTTCAAATCGGTTCTTGAAAAATTGACCGATGTCGTATGCTCTTGAATACGGATTCGTGCAGATATAATTTTGTTTCTAATGAATAAAGTTCTATGACTTAATAACTGATGATTTAAATAGTTTGATATGGAAACTAATTATAATTGTCGCTACCTTGAGACACTTTTGCTAATTTTCTGTCGCTATGAATGACGTAGGATGTTTTTGTATTTTTTTAAATTTTGTTCAAAAGATCAGTAAAACCTTTTTCTCGCATGATATACATATTATAAAGGTCTTGTGTTTTATGTAGAAGCCGTTTAGCGTCACTATGAAACACAGCGAGGAAATGGACTTGACTTGTCTAGCAAAGAAGTATCCTCAGTGAATGAATGAAGTGAGATAAGTATTAAAGAGTATTAACGAATTGGCTTTCATCACGGTTGTGTACTGAAGGTATATACGAAAATAGAGTGAGTGTACTTATTCTCTAAACTTGATTATTGACATGGTATTACGAAGGCTTGCTTGACTTACAGAAAAGTAGTAGAAATGAAAGATCATGACAGAAGTCTTCCTGTACCGCAGCATTACGTTTATCATGCTATTATTATTATGATCCTTGAATCATTCTACATTGTAAACTAGAAAATGCATTACAGATTTTAAAGAAAAGATTATTTTATAAATACCCATATGAATTCGTCACTGATTTTTGCACTTTGTTGGAAATTCAAGGTTAGATTTTTTTAATTAGAAAGTCCACAATGAATTCACTAGGCGTATCCCAGAAATTTTCAAGCAGTTCTAAAATTTTATCATTCTCGTACTCAACAAAAACAAACTCTTTGCAATTATGGTAGAATATTTTACCTACTAAGTACTAAATAACTACAAAATTTGAGACCTATATTTTGTACTATAGATGCGCCTCTGTAACAACAACATCATGTACTTTGTCTATTTTCTAGGAAATTAAATTGATAAAACTTGATATAAATAAGTGGCGGAACAAATGTTATTCCTAGGGTCTCTTTGGTAAACACATACCAAACCAAAAAAACAAGTTTTCCTTCCCAGATGTATTTTTTTCATGCGCATGTTAAGCAGGAAGTTCAACCAGTGATAGATATAAAAAGTGATGCGAATTATAATAGCAGAAAGGAAGTCACAGAACTACGTAATTTACGGGATCTAATTTTCAAGATAAGCAGGATTGTAAACAATGGATCCTCTTGACTTGACATGTCTTGAAACGTGTTTTTATCAATGAACTGAATGAAAGAATTGTACTACAAAACTAATTGACGTTTGGTTTATAAGAAATACCCAATGTAGCATGACAGAAAAACCATGAAAAGGAGAATACAATGATTTTGAATAATTGAAAAACCAAATTAAAAAAGGAATGAAACAAATTTAGTGCTTCTTTGTGTCAACGAATGGTATATAAAATCCTAGCACGAGTAAAATTTTTAGTAGATTAGAATGACAATAATCTATGCAAACATTCATTGTTTGATAGATGTTTCTTTTTGAAAAGCTGTATAGTTTTTAAAATAATAACCAAGATAATGGAGAAAATTGACCCAATAATACTAGATGATGTTATTACAGAGTTGCATTCATATTACAAGCTATAGACCTCAAATTTTGTAGTAATTTAGTTATAAGTAGGTAAAATAATCTGCTAAAGTTTCGAAGAGTTCTTTTTTGATGAATACGACAATGATAAGTTTTAAAATTGCTTCAAAAGTTCTGGAACACTTTTGATAACTGACTGTTTTCCTTTTTTTATTCGTTCTATGTATGCATGCATTGGCTCTTTGACAAATGCCTTTCCTAACTTTCGTCATTTGTTGCTCTCTCTCTTACTTTTTTTGCTTCATAAAATTTCTCTTCTTCATATGTTTCCTTATCTGATAGATTTTTCCATACATTGCACATGTAAAATCGAATTGGCTAATATTTTTGAATTAAGTAAGATTCGGCCAGACCCATTTTTTTGTGATATAGAATTCAAAAATCAAGCTTTCTTTTTCCGCTGATGGCTTACATGAACGGTTTGATAGTGTTAAAGTGAATTCTCTCTTAATTACTTCGTAGAAATATAGAGCATACTTTTTGCACTAAGGTACTTACAAGAGCAGTGCTGAGACTTGTTTTAGCTGATGTCTGATATGAAATAAACTTGTCTTTATAATCTAAGATAAAAATTTGAACTATTCATGATCGAGCGCGACGATTTATAACAGAA